CAGGAGATGAAGCTGAAAACCCGCTCTGTTACCACAAAGGCAATTACTGTAGTTCTGTGTAGACACTTGCTATTTCAGGGCCAGTGATGTTCTATCCATTGGAGCATACTTCACAAGTTACCAAAAAAAAAGGAAGGGGAACCCCCCCCCAACTCTTTGAATTGAATATGTGCTGCTAAACCCACTTTAATCCTCATTTCATCTTGTTTGTTAGGTCACCGGAGGGCAGGAGACTTTTGGAAAGCAATGCTAAATACAACTGGTAGATTCTTTGAAACGTTCACACTCAGTTTTGTTGGGACTGGGTCATGAGTGCTTATTAGCATTTCATTACCCTTTTCCTCGTTTGTTGGTTTACCTCTCCCTTCCTTATATCGTCTCTCCAACACAGATGAGCATGTTTTCCCTCCCCCACTTTTCATGGCTTTTCAACAAAACCAAATTTTATTACATTTGATGTAACTGGGGAGAAGTAAGAGGGAAAAGCTCTTATTTACACTGTGCTTTCCATTACCCATTCTGAGCTCCCATAAGTTCCTTTTGCCCCTGCTAAGTCATTGTCATCGTACTGCAAGAGCATGCCATTCACCGAGAGGCTGCGCTTTGTCCAAATGTTTGTTATCTTTTTTGGGTAGGTACAACATTGAGATGTGGCAAAGTCCCCCATGTCAAAAGAATGACTCCGTTTAGTTTTTCCCTCCAGTGGTAACATGAGGAGGCTACGGAATTTTGACTCCTGTTGGCCCAAAAGTGGTTCTTTGTCCGAATGGTGGGCCACTGTGGAAGTTCTGGAGTCTACCGTGTCCTCCTTTTTCTGACACTTCAGTTCCAGGGAGGCAAAAGCTCCCATTAATCGATCAATGTTATGTTTTGACCTAGAAGGAGGTCTCCACTTACTGGACAATGTGCCTTGTTCACTCTGGAGGCTATAGTCATCACAGTCGTGGCTATTTGCTGAACTAGAAGAGGAGGAGATGCTACTCTGCACAGACTCACAGTTAAACTCCATGAGTTCATTCCTAACCACCACTTTGGGGTTCACTTGAGGCAGGACCCCATTTTGAACAGGTTGAGCTCCATTAGTCTGTGAGTAGACATTGCTGACATTGGCCATCTTCCCCTGGGAATTGTTACAAACTTTATACCGCACCATGAGTATGACGATGAACACCAGTAGAGTCGCCACAATGATGCCTCCTATGACTAAGATCATCGTCCCACCCAGGAACTGGCTGTGCATGGATTGGCACTGAGGATAGTCCTCTTTAGTGAAGAACTGGGCACACCCCACAACGTTGGTGGCTGTGAGTGTCGTGGCAGTGTCATCCCACATGGCCAAGACGCAGAGGTCATAGCCAGTTCCAGATACAAGGTTGTTCACCACGAAGGCTTTGTTTGTAGCCGGGATCATCCTTCAAGAAAAAGACAAAAGTAGGTTAAGGTTTAATGAGAAACTAATCCCCCATTGTTAATTACCAGTAGTAATGGGCCTGAGCTGTAAAGTTCAAACCTAGATCCAAACTTCCCCAAAGTCAGAGGTGCTCAGAGGTAAGGTTTTTCTTCAGATCCATCTCTCCTGTAGCCTACAACAGTCTGTGCTTTGGATGCATACAGGTAGTAGGCAGCCATCACCTTCCTTCTGCCTACACTATGAAGGATGAATACTTTTAGTGCAGAGAACTTATCCGCTGGAAATGTTGCATGTGACCTCCTTTCTTAGATGAGTGGGGAAAAAATTATCTGCAATATTTGTTGAGGAGTGGTGGAAGATTTCAGATTGAATTATAAGAGCAATTTTTGCTTGTAAATCCTTTCAAAACCAGGCAGTCCCAACCTTATAACAAATGAATAAGATATAAAAACAAAAGACGTGCTTGGAACAAAGTAGATGTAGATCAGAATGATAGTGTTCTACCGAGAGCATGGGTGGGCAAAAGGCTCTCAGCAGGATGGAATCAGCCTGCCTAGGGCTTTGATCTGGCCCGTGAGGCAGTTCCAGGCCCCGCCCCCAGCGCGTTGCCTGGGAGCTGGAGACACAAGAGCCATTTTAACTGCCTCTATTTAAAGGGCTAGCGTCTTCCCCATGCCTTGCTTAGCAGCTACGGGGAAGGCGTGAACCCTATAAATAGAAGCAGTTGAAAGGGCATATAGCTCTCGGTCCCACTGGCCTGTTGCCTGGAAGCTGCCCAGACGAGTGGCTGCTAGGCAACAGGTTAGCAGCGGGGGCCAGGAGCTGCGAGCCCTATTGTGTGAATTCTAAGCCTCCACCTCAGACAACTCTGGGAGGAGGCTAGCCCCCCAGCACCCTTCCATTGGCCAAAAGTCAAGGTGCAGGGGCCCCAGGCCAAGCAAAGCTTTCGGTAGGATAGCTTTCAACCCCTGCCCCTTCCCCTGAGGCCCCACCCCTTCTGAAATTTGTGAAGTGGCCCCTGACCTACAGCCACTTAAAGACTAACAAAACATGCAGACGGTGGTATGAGCTTTTAACGTGCTGCTAGACTATTCATTTTTTAAGTTTCTACAGCCACTTGGCACTCTTTTTCCACCAGTATGGTATAAAGTGCAGGGCAGTGGAGAACCGGGGTTATGCTTGGTTTATATGTCCTACATGAAATTGCAAAGCAGCCTTTGCATTTTTCCTCAATTTCTTCATACAGATGGTTTAGAACAGTGAGAAAAAAGGTATATTAGGTTAAAGTTAAATTCAATATAATCAGCCTGAATAGCCTTTACATCTCAGGCCACTTGATGCCATTCTAACTTACTCCACTCTAAGGCTCACTTACACTGTTAAAGTGTTTCTAAAGTGGCCTTAGAAACAAAAGAGAATTGGATCCAGCCATTCAAATCTTGCAGTCTTTGTCCAGGAAAAATCCATATTGACTTTTGCCTGAATAAGGACCAAGTAGAAACTGAATAAGAAGATCAGGATTTCACCCATCGTGACCTAAGATTTGAAATATAAAACTATGGAGCCAGAAACCATCTACTTAAGCACTCCTGGCTGAGGTTTGTTGCTGACAGTTATATATTGTTATGTTATCATATTGTGTGACTCTGGATCAAAGCTAAGACCTTCAGCAGACTCAGATCTAGATAAGAGGGAAGACTTTGCCTGCTGCAGCCTTCTCCCCTTTGTTCTGCAGCTTCAGCAAGTGGGACACTGATACCACAATGGCAAAGAACAGAAACAATTCCATGTAAGGTATTTACTTTGTACCTTATATTCAACAGAAACAGCTGATGGCAGCAAGTCACCTCATTACCTTCAGTAACAACCTTTGTGCGGCCCTCCTCCCAACAAATCTCTAGCATTTGGACATGGAGGACAAGGTTAAAAACAGAAAATGATTGAGGAATTCATTCAAGTCTTTCCACGGTGGCCTTTCTTCACCTGAGCTGTCATTTCCCACTAGCACTCAATTGATGACAATGGTAGCTGCAGAGTATTCCTGGAACACTAAACAATAGTACAGGTGTGCAGCCACACATACATGTAATAATCAACTGTATGGTTTGCGGCTCATGCCTGAGCCTGGCTGTTTATATAGCAGATCAAAAAGGTGTGTTCTTCCTGAACATGCTGGGCTAGAATCTCAGGTGCAATCTGGCTGCTTCGTTCTACACTGTCGGGGAAACCTGTCTCTAAAGCCAGTGTAACCATCTCAGGGAGGATCAAAATGACCTTCTTGTGGTGGAGCAGACACAGGTGAACTTGCACCACTGCCAGTGTAGCAGGGGAAAGGGCACTGCCAGGAGAAAGGTGGTATAGATGTCATGCTCCTGAACCATGCCAATCTTCCAGTTTATTTTGGCCTTTGTAGTTAGCGAGCCATTCACAGTCTTTGTTTAATCCTGAGTTGATTGTGTCAAACTGAAGATGAACTGTAGCTCAGCAGTTTCTCTTTGAAGTCTGATCCTGAATTTTTTTTGCTGCAGGATGGCTACAGTTCATCTTCAAGTTTGACACAATCAACTCAGGATTAAACAAAGACTGTGAATGGTTAGCTAACTACAAAAGCACTTCTCCTCTCTTGGTATTCACACCCCCAGATCAGCTACTAGAAGTGGGCCTCATCCTCCCTGATTGGATTCACCTCGTCATCTCTAGCCTGATTCTGGCCTGCATATTTATACCTGCCTCTGGAAATTTCCACTACATTCATCTGACGAAGCCTTGGGTCTTTGCCCACGAAAGCTTATGCTCCAATACTTTGGTTAGTCTTAAGGTGCCACAGGACTCCTCGCTGCTTTTAGAGAAGCAATGGTATCAGAGCAGTGTAAAGGTGAGCATGAAGCCACCGTTGCATACATGTCCATGTATGTATGCACACATAACAACTTGTGTCTCTGCAATTTGGCCATAGCAGAAGACCTGGCTCATTGCTTTTAGAACACTCAACAGACAAATTAAGTATCACTCAAAGAGGTCTGGAAAATTGGACCACCTAGCAGATGCTTTCTAATTTCTACCTAGACATCCTTGGTGCCTCTAGCATCAGAGCTGATGTGTTCTGCAGACAAAGGCAGCATACTCAGGCGTTCTGAACCTGCCATCTCTAGAATGTTCAATGACAGCCACATGGTCAAGTGAGAGTTGCTTCTGATTGTGTCCCCATGGTTCTAAAGGCATTGTACATCCAACCAAATCATCACAACTTGGGCAATGTTCCTCTTAAATAAATGTTTCAGCCCATTGCCTGTTATAGCTGTATTTTAGTCCTTAGAATACAAGGCCACTGGGACAGCAATCTCATCATCTTCTGTGTTTTGAAGACTGCTAACCACCATATAAATAATTTTAGTGAAAAAACCACAGCAAGGAATGGGAGCACTCATCAGTTCAGATTTTACCATTAGAGCCTTTTGCTAAGTAGCCTTGTTTGCACATTTATATACATATTGGCCAGTTACTCTTGTTGGCTAATACTGTATCTGTTCTCTGGTAGAGTCTGTGTCAGTCATTAATGTATTTCTCAAAGTATTTACACCCATCACTCCTACCCTATTCCTGGTAGGCATGTGAATGGCAACACCTGTTCATGGCAGGCCCGGCCTGGCCGGAGCAGCACCGTGCAGGCCTGGGTGTTCCATCCTGGCCAGAGCTCCCACTCCCATTTAAGTGGTTAACCAGTTAAACAAAACATTCAGCTGGTTAACTGATTAAATGGGATTGTACATCCCTAATTCCTGGCCTATGTGGAAGCAAGGACATAGTCCAAGTCTCATAGGCAAGCCTGATCTCTTGCAAAAAACACAAAGACATCTCAGTGAGTCTGATTTCTGAATGCAGAAGAGGTGAGGCACAGAAACCAGCTGATGTTGGCAATGTACTTTCAGCTCCTCCCGTGAAACAGACTATCACTATTGCTGTCTAAACCAAATCATAGACCATTATTAGCCTACATGGAGCTTTAGGGATTCTGGTCAGCTAGAGTTTTAGAGTCCTATTAGATCTGTGCAAACTCCTCACCATTGAGTGTGGTGTTCTGTGATTAACAGGGCCTCCAACTTCAGAGCGGCTGTGCAAGATTCCCCACCTTTGATGGAGCAAAGCAAAGATTGAAGTGGCATCTCACAAGCTACCCATGTTGGAAATAATCAAAGAGTAATCAATATCCCACAGTGAAAATGTGTCTATATTGATTTTAGATTTGGGGACTCTGAAGTGCTGCCATCAATCACTGCAAACTAGAAATAAGTTTGGGGGAAGGAGGATTGTTTCTGAGTGAGCATCATGAAATACTTTAAAGATTGGGTAACTTTGTGAAAACAAAAATCAACCCCTTTAGATGCACAAGAACTGGTTTTGAGTTGCTTAACCCCTACAGTGCTTGAATCTACTACTTATTTCCACACCGAGCTGTTCCATTTCAGTAGCATTCTTTTGAATGTCATGCAGGGTGGGATATTTGAAGTACATTTATAAAACCATAGGTAATCCTCGGTTTTAGAAGTATTATGGAAAGATGATCACCCTTCCATAAGTACAGTTGCAACCAGGTTCCTATAAGCCTATTATTAGCCTCTCTACAGCTACAGCTGTGCCTACCAAAATTGACCGAGTATAAAAATTACTAGATTTCCCTGGAAGACTGTGATTTCTTTTCTGGAAAGTTAACCAAACTGTGTTTGAGTCCCAGATTATTAATAAATTGCCCTATACTGAAGTTTTGATGTGTTCCTTATGTTTCTTTGTACCACTCTAGGTTAAATAGTTAATTGCTACCTCTTCACACATTCTACACAGTTAAATCTCTTTGAAAATTCTTGTCTGGTCCATATTCGAAGAAAATAGGTTGTAAACAAGTAAAGCTGTTAATGCTTATCTGTAACTATAATTGTTATGGTCTCTGTTGATGAAATTCACCTGTGTTTGCACCTGACAAATACAAGACTTAAGTCCCATTTA